CTATATAACCTATAAAAGACTGTTTCGAAACCATTTAAAAGTTAAGTCAGAAATGTCAAAGTTAAGGCTGTCTGCAAAGCTTCAATTCTTCTCCCTTGCATGTGTGCATTGCAGTACAAACTACATAATTAAGTTATATTTCCTCCAGAAGACACTTGTATTCTCAGACACACAGGACAGACAGAGAATGTGGCAGAAATATGTTCAGGATGAGGTTGGTTTCTGTCGGATGCTTTCCTCATGCACAAAAGACGGTTGGCAGATGATGAGTCAGGAGATATGGGGAGAACTGTGCTTGCAACTCCGGGCTATAATCTTGATTGCAGCATTTCTAGATATCTGGTGTTCGATTAGTTTTTAAAGTAATAACAAACAAAAAAAAGATCCGTTCTTGATGTTGCCTGGACAATTTTTGAAAGAAAACTGAACCTCCATAATTTTTATCTGTAATAACACTGATGTGGAATGACAACAATGACTCCTAAATTCATGAGTTAGATTTCTTGGGGTCTTGAGTTCAAGCAGTTAGTAGAGGTTACCCTTTTTTTTTTTTTTTTATTTTTGCATTCCATCGTAAAAGAGAGATCCTACTCTTCTCTAGAAAGAAAATATTTTGAAGGCTCTGGTCAGAATTTTCTACTGTTTAAACAAAATCCAGAGGATCAAATTAAATGTCTATCTTAGAGCAGTAATTATAGCTATCAGAGCTAAGTTTATAGACAGTTTATTTCCCTTGGAAAGTGGTGTAGCTAAATGGACAATAACTGAAGTTAAAGATACAGTCCATATTCTGGGCAATAGAATCAGCAGGACTTAACTCAGCTGCCACAGGACAGTCTCCTAGGTCTATTGTGGTAAGAGCAGATGATGATCAGGCAAGTATCCTGATGAAAAGGCTTCAGTAAAAGCCTCAGGCGTTTCTAGAGTATTAATGAAATATCTGGAAGATTAAAAAGCAGATATTGAACAGGTTCAAATGGTTATGTTATAATTTTTGAATAGAATATGGTATGTTTACCAAAATATCAAAGAGCTCCAGACTCTAGCATTACACTTTTCTGAAAATTAACTTCCATCCCCAATCCTTAGAAACATTAGAGGATTTGAAGGAATGTGTGGTAAGAATACTTCTAGCATTGACAGAATGATAGATTCTTTTCATTAATTTTCATACTGAAAATGGCTGTAAAACCTTACTCAAACTCTTCAGAAAGCTTGAGCTAAGAGATCAAGGAAAATATTAGCCTGAACAATTAAAACTTTAAAAAATTATGGTTGACTAAAAATAAGGTTTGAAATGGATGCTGTGTAAATACTTCCTTGCTGTAGAAGAAGAATTTGCATTGTGGATGCTACAGACCTGCGACAGGATGAGGTCATACAGTGTCCTGAGACCTTTTTTACAATATATGCTGCCCTCTAACAGCAATACATAGAAATCACATATTGTTATTTACTAGTGAACTAGAAGAGACAGGTCCACATCCTGCTCTGAATTACATACCTCGCTATCTCCTGTAACTGTGGAAGTGTGGATTTCTTTCATGTCTCGACAGCTTTAGAAGACAAAATGCAAGCTTGTGAGTTCCTGCTGTGGTTTTGCCCCTTAGCAATCCTTCTGTTGATTTCACTCAGCCATCAGAAATCTAAAGGGAATATCAGTATTTGTAGCTTGGGGGTCTTCCCTCCAACATCATAACTTTAAATACAAAACAACTCTACTAGGCAAGAGCGGGTCTTTTGAGTTTCTTTTTTTTTTTTTAAATTCTCTCTGCCTCCTGCACGCATACAAAGTTTAATTGCTACTGAGTGAATCCCAGCTGCAGCTGCATTTGTAACAACTGAAACTAAATTTTAAAGGCATATTGTCTTCCTGAATCCATGAAAAAATATAAAGTATCAATATCCATGCTACAGCACTTGGGATATCTTCCCCTCCAACTGCATGGATGACTTATAAAAAGCACCACTGTAATTTCTGAGATGAAACAGGCTTCTGTGCTAGATTTTCAGTTTGCTTCTACTTCATACAAATGTAATACTGTTCTGGATAACATCAGTAAGAAACAGGATTTTTTTTTCCTTGAAACCTATACAGGTACAGTCACAGAAAAGGCAGGTTAGTATTTCTTTATAGTTTGGAATTAGTATAATGGGTATCTATCTCACTCTCTGTATGTAGGATATACACACACTCTGTTCTCCTGTGCAGACAGTCGGAAAGTGGGAAGAGAAACTCTTTCTTTTCAACATAATTTCTTTGAGAATTTACTTTTCATGCTATCTAAATCTTCAAATCTGAAGGAGCACTCTAGCTAAAATAATAAAGCTGAACAGGACTGTCATCCAATATTTCCGATCCAGTTTTAGAAACTAAACAGCTAATGCTAATTGGGTTAACTGCTAGCCCACTGGAAGACACAGTGCTTGTGACACAGGCCAATCTTAACAAGCCCATGGCACTATGAAGTTAAATAAATTACACAGAGCTTAAAGCTGGCAGCTGGTCTGCCTGCCTTTCCTATCTGGGGGTTGTTTATTTCTCTCAGAAGGCCCTAATCATGCAATTTTCATATGGTTATACCTGAGATCTGGACTTCTAACCCCATAATCCGGCTCAGCAATATATAGCTACTTGCTTTGTGCAGGCAGACATAATCCCAGAAGTGTTTATAGAAGTTCCTTTTCTTTATGTCTTCTCACAAAAGTGAGAGCGACTTCTGTCCTCAAAACATTTTCTCTACTTCTCTGGGGTTATATTTAGGAATAAGAAAACTTATAGAAATTCCTTTGAATTGAATAGATGGTAACAGGATGTAAATTGGCCATGCCTTTACAGAAATTATTTTCCATGGTTATATAATCATGGAATTACGTGAGGGTGACAGAGCACTGGAACAGGTTGCCCAGAGAGGTTGTGGAGCCTCCTTCCCTGCAGATATTCAAAACCCCCCCTGGACGTGATCCTGGGAAATATGCTCTAGAGGACCCTGCTTGAGCAGGGGGGTTGGACTAGATGATCTCCAGAGGTCCCTTCCAACCTCAACCATTCTGTGATTCTGTGATAATCAGACTAGTTATCTAATGGCATCCTTAATTAGGAGTCTAAAAGACAAATTACTCTTCTCTTACCCTTTGAGAAAACATATTTACAGATTTTTTATACACACTTTAATGAATGGCATTCTGATTTTTGATGTGATTTCTTATATGAGTAATTGTTAAGAAGAGAGTATTCTGTGGGTGAGGGAATTTCGATGATTTTTTTTCCTGTTTTTTTTTCCTTTACCTCAGAAAAAAAGGAAGCAATCTGGAGATCAATGCAGAAACACCAAAGAGAAAACAGAGATAGCATAGTGTACTACATCTTTAAGATATACTTCCCTTATTTAGATTAGTCACCATCTCTTACTTTTCCTTTTGTCCGTTTCTGAATATGTAAAATAATAAAATGAATACAGTAAGGAAAGAATGGTAGTTTGCAGAAGCTTTTTAGATACTACCACAATCCTGATCTCAGCCTGACAGGGCTGTTTGGCTTGCAAACCACAAACATTGTGGTTTTAAAAAAGCATTATACAGTACTGCTAAGACTCAGTGCTGAGCTCATTTTTGTTCTTAAACTGCAGAAGAAAATACAATGTAATGGCCAGCTGTGAAGCTTACTCTAGCTCAGATACGATTGAGATTTCCCTATGTATAGGAAAACAGGCCCAATGACATTTATTTCAGAAAATCTCAATACCATGGTATATAGATATGTTTCTTCATGATCTGCTTTTCACTCAGTCTCAGCCTGCTGACATCTATATACAGCATGCACAGAGGAATCTGTGATCGCCACTGTTTTATGTATCGTTGTTCAGTTTATTTCATCACCTAAGCTACTGCAGAAAACTGCATTCAGGTCTAATAGACCTTTACCTAGAATCCACAGCTAAGCTGATGGATGAGACACAGGGAATCCTGGTTTTATCAGCCCTAGGGAAATTGCCTTAAGTGTGATAAAAGAAGAAAGATTATTTGCATCCAGGAACCTAGGATGATGTTGTATTACTGTTATTGCCCTTGAAGAAAGACAGAAGCAAAGATGCAAAGAGATTGCCTTGTCTAAGCAGTGACAAATCAATTACAGTTACAAACAAAATCTGCCCGGTCTCTAAGAAGTCTTAGCTAGACGCATATATCGGGAGTAAAGTCAAGACAGCAGGTGAAATTAGAGACAGAAAATACGGATACATAGTGAACAAGCCACCGCCCCACTTTTACAGCGTACATACCGATATCGCTAGGAAATGTTCTAGCGTATGCCTTCACCTGCCCTAGAGGACCTCTCTAGAGAAGTATGTGGCAGTAAGTTAAAATACCTGAAGAACCCTCTACCTAGTGTAAGAAATTTCAGTTGCTCCAGAGAATGATGAGGATGCCTACAGCCAGCATGATGTGGATGAATATGGCTTGATCCACACTGTAACAAGAGCCAGTGCTGACCCCTGTCAAGCTCTCTGCCACCCTTGACTCCTGTCACACCACCGTGGTTTGGCAGTTCAGGCCTGTCTTCTACTTGCATGCCAGGTATGCTGGTTTCCTTACAAGTATTTTTGTGGATGGTGATTAGCACTCTTAGCTGGCTTTTATGTTAGACAGTGTTTGTGTTTCACTATTCATGAACGTTTAGAAAAACCTAATGTTGTCCACGCAAACTTTAGGGAAGCATTTGCACAACCTCTTATGAAAGCCAAATCTCCATTTCAAGAAAATGAAACTCAGTACTTCCCCCTACAGCTCCACCCTGTGTTATTAATCCATTTTCTGAGCTGTCTTCTACCTGCTATGGCAAACCTATTCGTGGGGTGCATGTTACCCTTTGGAAAGTGCCTGTGTAGTGACTGATTGTTTTTTGGTTTTGGTAATGATCACAGGTAAGTGGTCTGTTATAGACAGCATGATTCTTTGCTTATTAATCACTGTTTACTACTCACTATTTTTTTATTCCCTTCTTCAAAAAGTTATGGTCTTCCAAACAAAGGGCAAAAAATACAGCCAAAACAACAACAACAACAAATCCTGTGTAAATGAAGTGACCAGTCACAGATCATAAACAAACTGAAGGGAAGTTTGTGAACAGCTTGTGGATAGAAAATTATTCATTGAAACCATTCTGCAAGTACTCAGGTCTGTCAGAGACATTATCTGCAGAAATCAGGCCAAGAGTTTGCAAACTAAACTCAGTGAAAGTTCACTGGGTAAGATACTGGCAATCAATGCTTTGACTACTGTTCAATGGAATGTGTCCAGCTAAACCTACCAAGTAGGCTAAATTTCTAGCCCTTCAGCCAGATTTATCAGTCCTAAATCCTCCAGATGGCAGTCTGAACTCATCCTCAGAGATGTTAATTTGCTCTGCTGACATCTGTTTTCCTCTGGTTAAGTAGGCATCTTTTCTTCTGAGTGTTTATATCTCTCCTGATCCTTTACCGCATATTTCTCTCAGATGTGTGACATCAAGGTCTCACTGGAATGAATAAAGACATTGAAAAGATGAACTTCAAATATAGCAAATGAGTATCTTTGCTTGCTTGATAGCACCATAGCAAAATAGTAATGAGACAGCATCTATGGATATGTCAGCTCTACTCTTAAGAATGCCAAGAACAAAAGAGAGGTCCATAACTTTTAATCACCCCTCCTGAGAGTTCTAGCTTATGTGCTGAAAACCCAGACATATAGCATTTTTATCAAGATAAAACAATATTAAACCAAAGAATGTGTTTCAGGGATCTGAATTATTTAAGAAATCCACCTCATTGGACTCTGTCACTGAATAAGCCTGTATGGTTTAAGTATCTTACTTTTAAAGAGGCTTACATAAAACTCAGAATAGTACCTCAGAGTTGTCTGGAGATGTATTTGTGAACTAACATCTCTTAAATTAAATCTACTGCTGTCTTTTAAAACCAAGAGAGAAACAGAATGACTGACTGACTTGTCTATTACAAGCAAAGCTGCACTGACAAAAAGCAATCACCTTGCTTATTTCTCTGTGCTTCTGTTTAGAGCATTCTGAACACCGGAAAATTGTATTAAGCTTGTTCAGAATTACTCACAAGCTCACGGTAACAAGGAATTCCTGGCCTGTAAATTGCCTATTCAAAATTTGAATTCTTATTCATATTGATTTGTCATGACTTAGATCAAAAATACAGTGGAAGACGCACACGTTCCATGATTGGAGGGGTATAATTGGTAGAATCATAGTTGTAATGCATTTTTTTTCTGGCAATGTTCTTCAATATTTGCATATTTTTTTTCTAATAACATTCTTCCGTGTGAGTTTATTTGCTGAGATACTCATGAAAAGGGGTCATAGATGGGAAAGAGTACACTTGCAATTAATGACAAAACAAGAATATGCTCAGAAAAGGTTGTATATTGTTTGCTTGGCCCTTATATTTCTAGAAGAATAACGCAAGATATCGAGCCTAATAGCTGATGTGCCTTTTCACGGAACATTACACTCTGCATTCTGAGGTCAGGGAACTTGGGCAGTACAAAAGAATGAAATTTGGCCACGCTCAGCACAGAATGTGCTGAAGAACTGGAAGAAAGTTTCTTTACGCTTTAAGCATTAGGCCAATAGCCGCTTTGTTAGGGTTAGAAGAAAATATGGCAAGTCTCCATTCACTGTGCCTCTCTGCTCCCATTCAGTCACCCAAGGCTGCTGCCTTAGTGACACCACGCAGGCCAGGCTGGCTTCAGGAGTCAGTGGAGACAGCGATTCTCCAGCACACAAAACTGAATGGTTTAATTTCCTCACGTCTTTCCATATCCTTTATCTCCTATTAGAAGTGGCTGTGAATCTTTATTCAAATTGGAACCAAAACGAGGGGGAAGGGGAAGGTTTTATGGCATCACTTTTTTTTTAAACTTGTTTGTCTTATGATAGTGTCCTGAAATTCCCCCTAGATCTGGAGCTTTGCTGTCCTATGTGCTGTACAAATATACAGACAATGCTGGGCATGAAGAACACTTAATTTTCTATATATTACTTCCCTTGCACCACATATATGATTTCCTCTTTCCTTTCAAAACACCCTTTCCTTTTTGGAGACCTCTTGTTCTCTAGTGCAAATCACAGCTGCTTTTTTTTTTTGTTTGTTTTTTCCTTCCCTCCTGTCTGTATCTTGTCTTCATCAGGACTAATTTAGTTAATTCTCCATTTTAAAACCAGCCTGTCATGTTTGGTGCACAGTTGCTTAGCAACACCTAGCCTGTGCACGCACAGATAACAGGCAGGCAGGGATGTGTTGGTCTGGACCAGAAAGGTGAGAAGAGAAAGATCAAAATAGATGGTCTCCCTTTAGGCTTGAAGCTGCACATGATACTGCTACAAATTGGCAGATACTTCAAAAGGGCAGGGTCTGCTTTTGTTTTGAGAACAGGGTTTTGGAGCAACAAATACTGGCTCAGCACAAGACAGTAATCAAGTGCACACTACTGACTATGTATTGGATGCATATGTACAGATCGAAAACATTTTATTATTAAGCATTAAGCATGTGTCACAATTAATCAAATCCCAACTTCACATAAGCCCAAAGTGTACCAAGAAGGAAACTGGATAACCTTGTTTTATTAATGTAGTGCTAGTCCAAAGTAATTGAAACATTTTCACTGTACTTATCCTGTAGGCACATGGATCGTATCTCTCCCCCATGGGTAAGCAGAGGATCAGACATTTTGGCAGAGGTTTTCCTCTGAACGTACAGATCAGCAAGATGGCAGAGGTGAGTTGAAAGGGGAGAAAAGGGATATCCCTTATTCCTTCCTTCCTCACCTACAGACATGAGATGGGGATAAACTGCATAGACATCCATTCTGACAGAGATTCCCTTTTCCACTAGGCAGAAACGTAACCGTTTACACATAAGGTAACTATATTTCAGCAAGGCTTACCTCTGTGGAATAAGTGGCAACGCAAAGATGCTAGCGGACATCCTTCGGAATGCGTTTGGAGGATAAGCAATTTATATGCCTTGAGAAGAGCTAGGCACTGATCTGCACCAAAATCTTGAGGGAACAAAAAATACCATAGACTCAGTATGTGCAGCATGTGCACACTGATACCACTTTTGAATGCTACTAGAGAAAAAGGGAAGGGGAGCAATGAATCTGACAAAGGGCAATCTCCTGTACTGTCACAAACATGCTCAGTGAGGTAAAAACATACGTAGTGCAACGTATCTTCTAACAGAAGAAAAACAAATACATGAATATGAAGAGGCCATTTGAAGGGCTGTTAATCACAGTAGATATAGATGCACAAGTACAAGATGTTGCAGTGAGATGGACAACAGGATCTCCACCTCTGCTGGTAGATGGACGAACTACAGAATTTCTTAGTGTTTTTACACCAAAATGGAGCAAGACAGAAGTAGCACTGCACAAGGCTGTAGGTTTCATGATTTTGAATATTCTGAAATAGAAATTTCTGTATGCTACAAACTGTACACGTTCCTCCCATAATGTCTTTGATAATCCAAACAGTGACAAAACAGTGATTAAACACAAGCAAGACTAGAAATATCCCGGAAGTCGGATGCAAGACAAAATTTTAAAAATCAATCAAAAAGCGTGCCTATCACAAGCCGGAAGTTGAGTTTGCTGTTCTCCACCAAGACAAAAGGAGGCTTATCGTTAATCTGTAAAACTTGTTGAAGAAAAGCTTGCCATGAATGCTGGGGCTAAAGCCAGAACCGAATCAAAAGTAAGAGACCCTCAAGTGGCTTTGAGTAGAGCCCCTAAACAGACGAGACCTAACTTCAAATTATGAGATGTCCTCTTTGTTACAATGGAACTGAATCAAGATTCAACAAACATAATTTTCTATAGTGACATACTTTGTTTGAATAAGATTTAGCAGGATCGCAGAAAGGTCAAATCTCATCAGTCAGGGATAGCAGCTACAAGCTACTTTGGCCCAGGCTTTGCTAGTACAATTACATGTGAAAACACTGCTATTATCAAAGGCTATCTCATGGGGAGGCAGACACACATTATTTTGCACACACTGTCCATGCACATCCAAAGCTAAAGGAAAGCTGTACATGCAGTGGATGTTTAGATCACCAGTGCCCAACACTGCTCAGCTTATGAAATGCAGTTGGAATCTTCTCCTGCCAAATCACTTATCAAGTTAATAACATATTCACATGCCAAAAAGATGCGCAAGCAAAAGACGAATGATAAAAAAGGAGATACAATGGAAGATCATTTCAATAAAAATTGAAGGAAAAAGGAGAAATTAAAATTTAATTTGAAATATAAATCTACTGCCCAACAAATGCCCGACAGCGCACCTAACATGGTTTTATCATGAGAAAATGTTGTTGAGGCTTTTAACATTTAAACAATAAATGCCATTTTACTTCTTTTCTTGTATTAACTTGTATTGACAAGTAAATGTACGTAACTTGTATGTTATAATGCAAGAGCGTATTTTCTATGGGTGGAAGAACGGCGCTGTGAGAAACACAATTATCACTAAGCATAACTTAGGAAAATGTTATTCTGTATGAAAGTAGCCACAAGCAACTGCAAAAAAAGTATCTTTATACTGCTGGCTTGGGTGATAGCAGCAGCTGAAATTACTGAGTTTGGCTCACTGAATGTTTTGGAGTGTTGGGAGGGGAGCACCAATATCCTGTGTGAGAGCCCCGTGGCACGGAAACAAGGGGAGTGAGTGTGGCAATCTGAAATCGGATCATCTTTCTGGCTCAAGACTGCCTTCCACAGAATCCAGAGGAAACTGCAGGAAGAAAACTTTGGGGGTTTTCACTATCCTCTACAGGTAATTGTGTCTAGGAATATGCTTTGGCCCTCTATTAAGACCACATCAGTAGACAAAAGTCAAGAAATGCTAAAGTTATGAGTTGGACAGGACAGCATCAATCACAAATATTCAGTGATGAAAAAAGCTCCAGATGATCTTACAAACCTCAATACTTCAAAAATAAAAGTAACAAAAAACGGTAATTCAGTAGACAAGGTATTCAGGTTAGTTCATCAGGGCTTAACTCTGGTTTTAAATATTTGTTAATTCATTTACTGAATCATTCATTGCCTTATTTTATTCATTAATTAGTATCCTGTCACTTTTTTAACTTGACTTCTCTGTGTACAACACATCTGACAGGGATATTACAGTCTCTTGCAATGTTCATTAAGAGTCTCTAAAGAAGAAAATTTTCATAATGTGATAAAAGCATCACCAAACAATGATGAACCAGCTTGTTAATTTAATTTCTTGTGTGCTCTTTATTTATTCACTTGACATTACTAGAGACTTTGCACATGTTCCACATATAAGTTGTCATTAAATGTTTTTTCCGCAGGCTTTACATGCCTAATTAGTGTTTCTTTTTGAAAATCATTAGCCACTCCTCCATACCAGTGCTTTCAACTTTTCCCACATAGCGACCTTATTTTCCAAGAACTTCCTTCCCATTGGTACACAGCATGTCATCCCTGTTCAGGAAAAAAAAAAAAAAAACAGGATGCAATAACCTTGTATTAAATAGGCACAGCATTATTCATCTGCTTAAATTCAAAGACAACCTGTGTATTGCCTGGGGTCACAGCTTTAAAATACAAAAACAAATGTCCATGCTGTTGTTAAGGGCATGACTGCTATTGGATCCTGATTACTGTAGCAAAATAATATACAGCTGAAAATGGTAAACAAGTTTCCAGTTGAAGCCAATTTCTTTGGAAAGTGGATAGAGCTTTTCTAGAGGCTACAGCCTGCTACGCTCTGTGCCTTCAGGTAAGTCAGAAGCAATTGCAGTTTAGAACGAAACTTCTAGCAAACGTGTTCAGTCTCAGAAAGTCTTTGGAGATAAAGGTCACCCCGAAGAAGTGTATCAAAGCCCAAACTTTCTATACTTTAAGAATGGTTTATTTGGACTATTTGCTCAGTCATTTCTGCTTTTCACTACTAAAAAAGCACAAACGTTGTTATCGACAATAACAAATAAAAGACGTTTGTGGGACAAGAAGCAACAGGATTTTCCATACAGTTAAAGCCCTGTAAAGTAAGATTTATTAGCAAATAACTTACAGGGCTGCTAACCGGGCAATGTCTGTGGAGCTCAGAAATCACCCCCCCGAATTTTGCTCGCACACGCTTCTCTCCGCCTTAACCCTGGAGGGGTCAGCTGTCAACACGGTACGTTCACGTTAAACACAAGAAATACCTGCTTGCAAAAATAATTAAGAGTAGAAAGCAACCCTGCCTCTCGCTACCCACTGAAGGCGTGCGG